GTGTCCGCTTGCAGGGATCCGGAAGATCGGCGGAGCCACATTAATCCGATTGAAAGTGGAAAGTCTGTTGAGAACGGGTTATTGCACTGCAGTTCCCGAGCAGCAGCAGAGCCACGTCGCCGCACCAACCAACCCGATAGCAGACGAAAATTTGGAGCACCGCAAAGGCGAGTTGGCAAAAAGGTAACCAAAAATGGCACAAATCAAGTGGCTTTGATTGACCAAGAAACCAATATTTCTACAGCGAGGACTGGCACGACATACACAAGGCCCCATCGTTTGGTACCCGACGAACGTGCAAGAAACAAAGGAAGCCCTCAACAAGAGGTATTTTCTTCCTGCTCATGGAGATCAAAAAGCGTGACACTAACCGCACTTTTATATAGGGCTTTTTTCCCCGTCTAGATAGCTATCACGCCGAACGAGTCTAGCGACCGGCGCACGCCATACCGACGGTAGAGCCTGGACACAATTAAAATCCGGGGGTCAGCCGATAGGCCAACGACAGGGACACGTGCTGTCCACACAGCCGTCGTGGGAAGGGGTCAACGTCCAGCCGACATCGAACCAGTGCGTGAAGGAGGCCGCAGAAGGCGTCAACGGCGTTGACCTAGTAGCGGCGATGGTAACCAGCATTTCCACAACTTGTGCTTACTCTTGTACCTTCGTGAGGGCCACATCAGTGTCGTCGCAATCCTGGTTGACGTCTGGATCCGGTGAGTAAATTTGATGCCGCTTGCTTGCGTTGCATGTAGAAGACAGAAGCGGATGTAGGCGTAGCCGTGCGTCAGGAAAAAATCATAAGTGTTCTGTTTAAGGATGAGGATTGGCAGGTTAAGTTAGTAGAGCCTTAGTGTTATCTGGTCTGACATAAACACACTTCACATTGGAAACTTTTGGCTCTTTATTCATTATTTTGATAGGAAAACGCAATAGAGACATTGAGCTTGCCAGCGACGGGCCGGATGGAGAGGTTAGAATTCCACTTATATTTCAGCACCACCTTCTTCGTCGTCGCTGCCACGTCCGCATTACGATTGCCGCCGCTTCCAGGCATCCTGGCGGTCGACAGACGCTCCCCAAACACCTTTAAAACGTTTTTCACGGTCGATTTGGCCACATCCAGCATTTTTGCCAACTTGGCGTGTGAGAACGTCGTATTCTCTTGCAGCACGAGCAAAATTTTGACACGCTGCTCCTCTTATGGGCTACCCACAATAGTCCGTCACCGTCAGCGTCAACGCATCCGTCATGTACAAAAAGGCTGACGGACGCATTGACGCAGCGCTTGCGCACAATCATGCGTCACGCATTGCGTTTTGACAGTAGCATAATCTCGTTTTAATCATTTGTTTTGGTAGAAGATTTCATATTTAAAAAATAAGTCCAAAAATTCTGAATTTGGGAGGCGATTGGTGAATGGCGAGTTGGATTTGCAAGCACCGGGCAAGTTGTCAAGCTCAAATGAAGTGATGCCGTATTTCATTGTTGGGGGGGCTGCATTTCCTTTTAAGAATAACTTGCTCCGGCCATATTCAGATGTTGAACTACCTCCAATTCAAGTCAATTTATATCAACGGCTGTCCAGAGTCAGGAGGGATGGTGATGGGAACGTCAGTGAACTTGGTGAATGGCGTACATTAGTTGATCCTCTGAGATGTATTAACTCTGCGGCCCTTCAGAGAGGCAACAATGCGACACGATCTGCATACGTTAACCGAAATGTGTTGGTCAAACATGTATTCACACAATATTGTTAAATATAAAAAAAAACATTGCAATAGTTTAAATTGTCTACAAAGCTATTTCACTAGTTGTATTTTATTGAAAAAAAAATCACTGACATTTATTTGGAAATTGGGGTTGGCCCTTCTTACAAATGCAAATTCTTACTAACAATGTTTTTCATGATTGTTCAAAGCAACACGGCACAAAATACGCTTCTGATTACGCTGATGTGACAAAACAGCAACATGCCGCAGCGTCAATTTTGAAAATTTTCAAAGTTTAGCACAGCGTCAGCGTTTTAGTACTGGTGCGCAGTGAGCGCAACGCATCTTTGTGGGTTGCTAAACTGAATAGCGTTGGCTCAAACCAAGCTGTCAGTTGACTCTGACGGTGACGGACTATTGTGGGTGGCCCTTTTTTCTTAGACATCATTTTGAAAACTGCAGAGCAAACGGTGAAAACTCATTTAATAGAAATACACCAATTTGAAGTTGACCAATTTTTGCGCGTTCCAGACTTTAGCTGTAACGGCAGTGCCAAGAGTGCTGTTATTGGACTGACTTTGTTTGCATTTGAAGAATGGCTTGTTCGACAAGCCGGTTAATTTGACAGCTTAAAGGTTTTGTTTTTAAGGAACAGTAGTGAAATGCGATGAAGCAGTAGAATCTGATACCGGACTGGCTCGACTGGAGGATCCCACCGAGAAGGCGATCGATTTCCTCGCTGCAGCTGCCCGAACACCATTTCGTTAATTTCCTTAAATTTTCTATACATCGATCTTCAAAGCCAGTTATAAGAAAAATCGATAGCGATCGTCACCATTTTATGAATAATTGTAAAGATGCTAAAAGTCTAATCGTGAATCGTTTATAAAGATCTTTCTCAAAATATTGCCACCAATCGTTACCAATGTTAAAATATCGATTGTGTTGCCAGATCAAAATATCGATTTCGGTTGTAAAATCAAAATATCGATACAACACTGCTGATTTTATTTGTGATTTTTTATCTGCATAATTTCTAGTTTCGATCCCATGCCATCTGGGGTGTACTTGATTTCGTTATTGGTTGCTAATCCTCGGGTCCACGGCTGCTGTTGATGAGCTTATCAACGACAGGCAAATACACTCTAGTATGTGGTGTATTGAAATTTATGTAAATCTTTTCATACATGAATTCAATATTTATTTGCCATAACCAGCCATGTAGGTGTAATAGAGATCAAAAAGCTATCAATTTTCCTCATTGGGTTCCAAATGCCGAGAATCCCACCACGCATGCTATCACGGGTTATTAAATATATAGACGTAAACTTGAAGAACTACAATGGTAAGCATTTGCTGCGTCGCGGCCATCGGTCTTCTCGTTCATTTACCGGCAGATTGCTTCTTCCGATGAAATGCTGAATATGTCGATAAATAATATAAACATTGCCATCTGTCACCTGGTGTGTCTCGAACACTCTTTAACCAGCGATGCAAATCGATAACAAGGAAATTATAAATGTGCATCGATGGCAATCTTTGTTGTTCTTTGTCAAAGTTCAAAGCTACGATGATATCAGTATTTAAATATTTATTGATGAATATTTGTAAAGAATACTCAAGTCCATGTGTCATATCGAAATTAAAAGAAATTTAGTATGGCACCTTTATAGATTACTATCATATGACCGATAAAGAAATAATCTTAAATGTAAGTATAGATCAATAAAGATTGTTAAATGTGTACATCGTAATCATAGAAAATTTAAAGTAAAGAATTGCCGACATAAATCTTTATTTATGTATAAAGAACTTTGAAGAAGTTTCACGAACGGTTGGTCGGGTGCTTGCAAAGACAACATGTGACATGCTGCTGCTAATATTGAAATCGCTGGTACTCTTCCGGGGATCAAAATCGGCTGTGGGGATCAACGATGGCTACCTGCAGAGAATCGCGACAGCACGAATGCATAGTTTGAGGTGGTCAAGGTCATGTACCAACTGGATGTAAAGAAACGGGATGGAACGGCTTTATTGTTTGATCGGAGGATTTGAAGACGGTGACTCTGAATAATGCGACGAAAGCGTTCCGCTACTAAAGGCTGGTTCTTCAGTGGTGTCACTGAGGATCAGGTGGATCCATTGAAAAAGGGATCTGCAAAAATAGATTCCTGCTGGCGATTACAATATCACTTTATTAAAACAAAATCCGGAACGCAAAATCCAAAAAATTTACGGGAGGAAAAATGTTCGCTTCCATCTACAAGCACAGCACTTTTCGATCTTTTCTGGAAATTAGATCCCTTATTAAGGTGTAACAAAATTCAAAAGCAGTTGTTTTTTTAAAAACAAAAGTTTATGAAAATGTGTTCATTGCATTACTTGCCTACCGGAACACAGTGAACACTTTTTAATGGACAGAATTAAAAAAAACTGCTTTTGAATTTCCCAAAAATAATAACGTCCCCTTTCCCCATAACGTTTATGGCGACTGGAAGCGATTTTCTCAGGACCGAGTCCCGGGGAAAAGAATGCTTCGTTCAGTGTAGATTTAACGAAACAAGATCAAGATCACCAAATCTTCCAGATTTGCACTTGATGTTTGCTAGATTGATTGTGACATCGAATGGCTTAAAATATCACAAAAGAAGCAGAAAGTTAGTTTCATCATCGATCAAATCAAATTCCGTTGACTGCATCATATGCCCTGATAGATAGTACTTGGCTCCTTGAGTAAAACACAAAACCGAACCCAACCAGGCGGGGAAGGGCAACAAGAGCGACCAACTCACCGGGCAGGGGTGTGAGTGTGCAGCAGCAGCAGCAGTGGTTGTCACACCGGCGCGAAATTTTAATTCTACGATTTAATTATTTATAAACCACGGCGGCATCTTCATCGCGATCATCATCAGCATCATCGCTCGAAGAATGTCCTGTCCTGTGTACAGCAATGTGATGAAACGAGATGCCTAGAAAAGAGGAAGACGCTGCTTCCGTCGTCGTACGTAGACCGTCGCGTCGCGATGGCAAAATCGAGGTGAAGAGGTGAATGAGCTGCCCAGTGCGACATAGACCCTCGCGGCAAATCATATGGTCTATCCCACAAGCAACGGCAACAACATGCAGTAACACTGACCATGACACCTGCTCTTCTTTCGTCAACAAAAATTTGCGCGGTGGAATTCACGCGGTTTCATTCGTGGGATGGAGGCGAATGAATTTACACACCCCCCTGCGTACGGTGCGTTCTTGCGATGGCGTATGATTTTGAATTTGAACGGCACTTACCATGGCAAAGCCGGATAGCAGCGCAGATGTTTTACTGGATGCCTTCAGCTTGGCTCGGCTGAGCTGCAGCTTCCGCCAGGATAGGTAGTTGGGGGAATTATATTCGTCGCCGGACTGGGACATTGTACTGATGTGCGATCGTCTCTGAAAATGGTCGAGAAAAGAGAATATCGTTAGCATTGGATTGATTAGAACCTATTTTTTTTTTTGAAAATGAATAATACAGTTTATTGAAATCGCTCACAAGCACTTCTTCGCCTAGGCCGTGGCCGGATCCACTTCCGCCAGCGAACAGGGCGCCACCACCGATCGATGAAATTCCGTTGTAGTTTACTAGCCCGGCGGTTCCTGCCGACGAATGTTTGTTGCCAGCAGCACCACCAGCGGAAACAGGTTTGCTGAATTGCTTGTAGTACGGTGAGTTCAAACAGAGATTCGATTGTGAGCAGCTCGGATGTAAATGCATTGTCTCATTTGGGAGGGACGCGCGTGTCCACGGTCGACGTTCGGATGGTTTGCGCCGGCGCTCGTTGCCCGATGATCTCTCTCGTGCGCGCTTTCTCACACGAACGGTGTGTCGAATGGGAGATTTTTCCGATGAAGTTTACTGAAATCGGCTTCCCCGAGTCACTTAGTAGTTTGCAAGTTTCAGTTACACAAGTCACGTTTCAGGTGTGATTTCCTCTTAATAGCACTCAAACGTACACCGACGGATATCTCACACTCAGTTTGCTCGCGCTTCTTCATGCTTATTCTCTGGGGGAAATGTCAGGTGAGAGCAGCGCAGCTTCCAACAACTGCTGCGATGATGTTTAGTTGGATCGTCTTGATCTCGATTGTAGATTGCGTACTGCCAGCGGCGATGTTAGTCGTTTACTAGTCGTAGGTATTAATCCAACTGGGAGTAAACCGGCATTGATATGTAGACATTTGTAGTAGTATCGTTTAACCTAAGCGTAAACTAAACTCATAATCCAAATGTAGCTGTGTGGGGCGGTGTGCGTGTACGGGATGGGAGGGTTTCATATTTTCGTTTGAATTGTTGATTTACCGAACTCGAATGAAATATGAATGCAAACGAGAGCGTTGAATGGTGAGAGAGTGCCAGTAAAAACGTATCTTTTCTCACAATAAATTATAAGATTGAGAATGGATGTTTTGCTATGGCACCTGCCTCTATAACAGCAATGAATGGAAGCACTTTAGCGGGAAAGAAATGTTTCTGGTACCATGAGTGATTGCCAAAAACGTCATCATTAAGCATTTTTCACGTGTCGAAAATATTTTCTTGTGAGTTTATTGTGCACTAAGCAGGAGAATTCAAACAGACAGGTTCTCACTAGATTTGCCGATAAAAGTACTATTTATAAGCGTACAGGGTGAGTAGATGCTCTTTGAAATATTGATAAACGCACGAAGTTTCAAGTACCGTGCTATACTTTATGTGAATCCTAATTCTTGTGCACTCAGGTTTTTTTTTCATAATACATATCTCGATTTAGATGAGACGCTTTCGATAAGTTTGTTATAGTTTCATCCCTGATATATATGTCCAAACAGATTCATAGAGACTATATGGGGCTGTTCATTAACTGCGTAGACATTTTTTATGATTTTTGACCCCTAACTCGCCCGCGTAGACAATTGTCCATACACAATTTTTAATATTGTATGGGCGGTGGATAATTGCTAACCCCCTCCCCCTAAACTGTCTACGTAGTTAATGAGCAGCCCCCATAGACATGCTCGACCTTTTTCTGAGTATTCCAGGTGTTCTAGGTTCTCCAAATCGTGCTATCGTTCAGATAATTTGATCTAGTAGATAAACCGAGACTGGGGCAATGTCTCTAATGTCGAAATACTTCCAGATAGATTCACAGTGACTGTGAGGATCATACATGACCTATTGCCATATATCGAAGACAACATATCAAGAAGACTGGCAACTTTGCCTGAATCCGAGCGACAGACACAGTAGCGCTGTGCTCGAGCGAAGGTGGAAGCAACGCATAGAAAAATGAGCAAATGCATAAACATCTCTTCTGAGGATGGAACCTCTGCTATCCAATTCGTTCGGAGCATTTACCTTTGACCTTTACCGCCAGATGACGCGATTGTGCCTGTCTCATGCCGGTCGTTTGAAAAAATGGAAGAGTTGCCAGTCTTCTTGATATGTTCTCTTCGCATATATACTATGGATTGTGTTTGAAACATTTTAATATATATACATATTTTTTTTTTAATCTTGGCTGGTGGTTAAACAGATATATTTTTTTTTTTGATTTTTTGCTATAGTTTTGGACTTCATTGGAAGAACCAGTAAGAAGTTAGATTTATTTTAGTAAAATGCTCGATTTTCAACTTTTTACCAAGTGGACAAATTTTACGAAATGACTAAAATTGAGCAAAATTTCAAGAAGTTTAGTTCAGTTAAGTTTTCTTTGTTAGGGAGGCTATCAGCCTGAGGCTGGTTCGCCTCCGAACAGTGGCGTCACGTGAGAAAATTCACTAGTTGTGCACCTAGTTTATTTATATTTTGTCTGTAACAGTAGAAGCCAATTTTGATGCATAAAGGGCGAACACGAAATTATTGCGACACATTCAACAGGGCATAACTTTTTTACCATTGGGTAAAAATCAACCAAATTTTGCACACTTTCTCATTGATGTGTATTGTGTACATGCTGTTAAACTCGAAGTCGTGTTTTTCGATTCAACGAAAATGGAGGTGAACCAACGCGAGTTGAGAGAACAAATTCTTTCCAAACACCTGGAATTTCCTGACCTGTCGCACCGGCAGTAGGAAAAAATGTTGAACATTCTCTATTCAACCGTCTCCAGAGTGTTGAAGCGGTTCCAGGAGCGGTTGACGTTGGACCACGGCAAAGGAGCTGGAAGAAAACCGGGACCGGAGAACAAAAAGACGGAGGGAAAGGTGAAGCGGATGATTAAAGCAAATCCCAACGTCTCAAGCCGTGATTTGGCTAAAAAGATCGGCATGTCGCAGAGCTACGTCCAGAATGCAAAGAAGAGAGCTGGACTACATACATACAAGGTACAGAACTTCCCAAACCGCGATGAGCGGCAACAATCGACGGCTAAAACTCGGGCACGGAAGCTCTACGAGAAGATGCTGACAAAATATGGCTGCTGTGTGATGGACGACGAAACGTATATGAAAGCCGATTTTAAGCAAATTCCGGGGTTGGAGTTTTTCACCGGCAAGAGCAAGTTCGATGTGGACGACAAATTTAAGAAGAAGAAAATGTCGAAGTTCGCCTCCAAATATCTCATTTGGCAGGCCATCTGCTATTGCGGACTGAGGAGTGAGCCTTTCGTGACAAAGGGCACAGTAAATGACGAGATCTACAAATCTGAGTGCCTCGAGAAGCGCCTTTTGCCGTTCTTGCAGCAGTACGACGAAGCTCCGCTATTTTGGCCAGATTTGGCATCATGCCACTATTCTAAAAGTGTCCTGGAGTGGTATGAGGCCAATTCTGTCCATTTTGTTCCAAAGGACATGAATCCGCCAAACTGTCCGGAGCTGCGCCCGGTGGAGCAGTACTGGGCAATAATGAAGCGGGAACTTCGGAAGAGCAAGAAGACAGTCAAAGACGAGAAGGACATGTTAAGATAATGGAAAAAAAAAAAACTGAGAAACTGGTACCGGATGGCACTGTAAAGACTTTGATGGAGGGCATCAAGCGAAAATGCGTTCAATTTAACACTCAAGGCTCCATCGATTAACTTTTCTTTTGATTTTTGAAGTAAATATATGTATAAAACTACCCTAAAATTTTGGTTTGATTCTAAACATTATAAGAAAATTGGCATGACATTTTCAGTGTCGCAATAATTTCGTGTTCGCCCTTTAATAAAAAAAAAATGGGATACAAATCTTTCGACGGGGGTACCTGCATAAAAAATAAACGAAATGATGATGGGAAACAGTTCTGCTACCAGTTTGGCTTACTCTTGCATAGAAACATTGATTTTCTTTTTAAGTCTCATGTGTATGATTCTTATTTAATTTTGCACTATGCTATGAACAATATTCCATCAATGCTCTGAGGCTACTGAATGAAATGCAGACATGGTAGTGAGAAAATTTAAAAATTTAAAAATTCTATGTGTGCGTGTAGGTAGGTATACAACGAATGACGGCTCTCCAAGATTCGATCAATTCAGAGAGAAACTCAAATGCGACGTAGCCTATACGTGCCAATTTATTCTCTTCTCTTTAAACTGTGCAAAGATAGAAGTGCACAAAATAAACACTAACACAGCGGCAATTATGCTTACGGGACTTCAATACATATACAACTGATCTGGTTGTAAATACGAGCGTTTCTGGTGCACAAGCATAAGTGCTCAGACTGGGAGAACTAAGTATGCGGTGGCTTTGGTAGAACGAAGGCATATTTTCCTTGCTTGTTTTGTGTCGCTCATTCGCCATAGAAGTCCAAAAAGAGTGTTGTCTGCACGTGGTAAAATCCCAGCGTGCCCGTACGTGAAAACAAGATCGCTATGCCTCGCTTCTGTTTTACGTACATTTCTTTCAGTGGTGGGTAAAACGGAGGTTGAGCAGCGATTTGGTAAACAATTCAGCTACTATCCAGTGATGTGGTGGATAATTCAGTTATTATCCATATGAAACCAATAAATAGGGCGGACAAAAATGGTTTCAATTGAGTATTAAATTTTTGCCTCTAAATTTTTATGAAATATAAATTTTACTTTTTGAAAATTTGAGACTGTGCAGTGCACGAGGTGCACATATGGACGAGACGCCACTGCCTCCGAAGTTAAGTTCATTGTATTTCAAGATATTAAGGTATTTCAATAAAAAGGCGTTTTTCTCAAACAGCTCCTACTTTTAACAAACGCTATTTGGTGTCTATGTGGTTCATGCACGAACTATTGCCATGTATATTAGATGCTCAAGGTTCTCTAAATCGTCCAGGAGTTCAGATGATTTATTCTACTAGATCAACTATGACTTGGACAATGTCTGTATTTTCGAAATATATCCAAAAAGATTTATAGTGTCTATGTGGTTCATGCACAAACTATTCCCATGTATACCAGCTGTTTTAGGTTCTCCAAATCGTCCTGAAGTTCAGATGATTTGGTCTACTATATCA